GGGGCGGGGAGGAGCTTGAAGGATAGGTCTTAAGAATTACTGAAGTTAGTGGGGGCCAAAGATTCTATTTTAAAGTAATGTGGCATTCTGCCACAAAGTAAATCTAAACGAGCTTTATGCTGTATTTAAAACTAGTTGGGGCATGTTATTGGGAGGAGGTTGGGGGGATTTTGGCTATGTTAAATGTTTGATGTTGAAATTGTTGCATGTTGAATTCAAACTTTTTAACAAGTCCTTGATGTTTCAATTTGAAAGTGACCAATGGGGCTGAGGCTGTGTCCACTGAGGCTAAGATGACTGCCTTTCCTGATTGGCCTTGGCTTTTCCATACATTGTGTGACCCTTGCCCTATGACCCTTTGGCTGACCTTACCGGAAGCCATGACGACAGCAGCCTTTTGCCATTAGACGCAGGGTGATGGTGAGGATTCCAAGGGTTAGACAAAACTGGTTAATCTGAACTAGGTGACTGTTACCTTGCGTGTTTTGTGGCCAAACCACCACCAAAAACCTCACACTGTGATGTAAGTACTTAGTGTAACTAGTAAACATTTTTGTAAAATGTAGAAATGCATGTAATCAGTTAAGTTTTATATTTTACAATGTTCTGTAAAATAAAACTTAGCGAGGTAAATTGAATAAAGGAGCAGTCACTCTCTAACAGATTGTAGGAAAGGTTTAGTTGGATTTAGTCTGTTTGACTTGCCCTTAATTTAATTTATGGCAAATCACAAATGTATCGAAGGTTTAGAAGTGTAATAGCAAAGTCCTACTCCAGTAAATGAAAGTTGATATGTTTGTACTAACTTTCAAGAACATTATTCACCCCTATCATTACAAAGCATCTGATTGTTCCCTTCATGTGATAAAGGTGGTGGAGGTGGATACAGCAGTCGGAGAACCTCTGGCAGAGACAAATATGGACCACCTGTTCGTACAGAATACAGACTTATTGTAGAAAATCTTTCTAGTCGTTGCAGCTGGCAAGACTTAAAGGTATGTGCTGTAATTTGAGATAAAATATGATTAATGCTTGAAAGATAAAATGATAGGCTTTTTAATTTTTCCCTGTAAAATGAAACTGGTATATAGGTATTTTTATTCAGAGTTCTGGATCTGACCAGTCTTCTTGTTTTAGGATTTCATGCGGCAAGCAGGTGAAGTCACCTATGCAGATGCTCACAAAGAACGCACAAATGAGGGTGTAATTGAATTTCGCTCCTACTCTGACATGAAGCGTGCTTTGGATAAACTGGATGGTACAGAAATAAATGGCAGAAATATTAGGCTTATTGAAGATAAGCCGCGAACAAGCCATAGGCGGTCATACTCTGGAAGCAGGTCTAGGTAACTTGAAAGACATTGGGAGGGGAGGAAGAGAGTTCTTGAGCAATTTTCAGTTGTTTGACATTAAGATTTCATTTTGTTTCTTCTATAGGTCACGCTCTAGACGAAGGTCACGGAGTAGGAGTCGCAGGAGCAGCCGCAGTAGATCTCGAAGTGTCTCCAAAAGTCGCTCCCGGTAAATAATGTGGTATTGGGGCTTTTTTTCTGATTACAATTGGGGTTACATGTATGTTGGCAAGCTACTAAAAGAAATCTGGCTTTTTTTGTCCAGATCCAGATCACGGAGCAAAGGTCGATCACGTTCTCGATCAAAAGGCAGGAAATCTAGATCAAAGAGCAAATCTAAGCCCAAGTCTGATCGGGGCTCCCATTCACACTCTCGAAGCAGATCTAAGGATGAGTATGAGAAATCCCGAAGCAGGTCTCGGTCTCGGTCTCGGTCCCCCAAAGAAAATGGAAAAGGTGATATAAAATCAAAATCCAGATCAAGGAGCCAGTCTCATTCCCATTCACCTGTATCTGTACCGCCCTCAAAGGCTCGGTCTGTAACCCCTCCACCAAAAAGAGCTTCGAGATCCCGTTCTAGATCTCGCTCAAGGTCAAGGTCCAGATCGAGTTCCAGAGATTAATCCAGAACTCTGTTCTTTGCACACTATTATGGAACACTTTCCTACTTGCTTAGGCAGTTACTCTTCCATGTTTGTACTTGGCCTCTTCTGCAAGAGGATCTCCTGAGAACAGGGGCACACGGAAATTTGATTTGTGGCCAAATTTGATGAAAAAGATGAGGTTCTAAAATGGTGGCATGAAGTTAAAGGCCCTCTCCCTACTTTGTAGAATTAAGATAACTTTGATTTTATAGCTTTTGAGCTAAAATAACTTTTGTAAAGATTAAGCTCATTTAGATTTTTTTTTTTTTTTAAGTATTTCAGCAGGATCTGCTGCAGGGGTTTTTTGTTTTTTTTTTTTGCTTATTTTTAAATTAACCGTTTCAAGCTTTGGATACTTAAGGCTTTAGAGGGAGAACCCAATTTTCAATTATGTTGGCTTTTTATAAAGCTTGAGTTATGTAAGATTTAAATAAAAGTTTGCTACCGAGATGATTGCCTTATTGAATAGGTCACTATTAAATTCTTTAAATGTTGATATCTGGTATTTGTGGAAACAGTGTAAATTCTGCTTGAGTGTAAAACAAGGCAAACCTCAGACCAGCAATAAATTATTCAGTTTGGATAACATTATTTTGTGCTGTTAATCAAATTTGCCAAAGTCTTTATCTGCACCTCTTAACAAGTTGAGTTAAAAATAAAAGATATTTTTTAGTTGATCTGTTACATAATTTTGCCTAAATTGATAGATTTTTAAATAAACTTTTCAAGCTTACAATTTGAACTCTTTAAAGAGAGCTCCTAGTGCTTGGGATATTGTTAAGCTGATAATCAATCCCATGTTCTGGAAGTGGTCAAAGTAATTAGTGTTGTTAAAGTATGGTTTGGTGGTCTTTAATGCTTGTTATGTAAAAATGGAAGTGGCAGTTCTTAGAAATTTAGTGTATCAAAGTGGAAAAGCACATAATGCATTTTCTGCTGAAAGATCCTTATTCTTAACAGGCACTTAACAGATCATTTGATAAGTCAGTTGATAATTAAACTAAAATAACCCAATAATCAGTCTCCATAGTAGTTAGTGATAATTTGTTGGCTCATCCTTGTAAATTTTATACTTTCCTGTGGTTGGTTTAAACAGTGAAATGAGTAAACTCAAATATTTTGTGCTTTATTATGAATGAAGTATAATGGATACTGTGGAAATCACATTATACTGCAAATTTGTAGGAATTACTCGGTTAATCATACATCATTCCTAAATAGTTTAGATTGCAATTTAAGGAGTGATTAGGGTACTTTTAAATAATTTCAGTTTTAGGAACTAGCTTTAGTCTGAAGTCAAGGTTTAGGTGAATTGGTTCCAGTCCAGTAACTTCTAGGATCTATCTTTATGTCATATGCTAAGAGTTGGGTTGTCAATAAGGTGCGATATTTTAGGTTGATACCATAGTACTAAATAATCAGAAGACATCTTAATAAGGTTGGTTAAAGAGCCAAGGATCTAAGTAGATGTCAGTCACAGTAGTTGGGAGTACTTGGTAATTGAAAACCTGGTTTTTAAGAAATTCCTACCTAGGTTTTCTGTTGGAAAAAAAATCTTAAAAGCCTAACTGAGGGGCTCTAGTGCACCATAAGGTTGATGCTGCTTCCGTTATCTTTTCTTTGATACTTTGTTTATGTAGAGGTTTATAAGAAATGGTTTTATTTTTTCAATATAAACTTAGAATATAAGAGAAGAAATGCAACCTGTAATTTTATTTTGCCTGTTCAAAGATTAGAAGTGATAACTCAGAAAAAATTGGCTTTGACCAGTTTTCTTGTTTTCAGAGAAAGACCCAGAAAAGCTTTTTGAGCCACAGCCTTTTAAAGGAGGCAAGGCAATATTACAGTGAAATTTGGCTTTCTAAAAGAGTATCACATCCTCATTTGGGTTTTCTGTTACTATGACATCATTTGGTAAGAGGCATATGACTACATCATTAGCTGCCTCAGTAAGTGGGTAATTGTATAGGTACGTGCTTACATCCATAAATTTTTTCTAGTAATGGTATAAAGACCAATTACTAAAAATTCAATCCTATTTCATATCTATAGATATAAGTCATTGGATGCACTAAACTACTGTGTATAACATTGGCCTACTTAAGAAAACAGTTGACTAATTGAAAATGTTTAATTTGCTAACTAGTGAATAGAATCTGAGAATTAGCAACGTGCCTCATGTTTTTGTTCAGTGGCTGGGTGCAGTGTTGATCTAATAGCACAAGGAAGGTGAAGAATGTTGGGAGTCCCATTTCTTTCACTCAGTAGTGTTTTGTTGATTTGCCATAGAGCCTTTATGGCCAGTTTTGAGTCCTACCTACTCCAGCTTTTATGTTCCCGATCCTGTGTTACCACCTTTCATCTTGGATCTTCTTTTTTCCACTTTGTTAACCAATATGCATTTACTTCAATAAAATGCTTACTGAGGGAAAGGTTTGTTTTGAATTTATTGTGTATTTCCACTTAGCATGAAATTCTTAGCCAGTGGGTTTTTGCATAGGGTTGCCATTGGTTGGCCATTTCTTGTTAGGAGAAAAGAATCTTGTTTGAGTTATACAGAAACAAGAGTTTGGAATTGTCAGCATAGTAGATGGATGGTTTATCTTGGGCAAATCAATTCCTGTGCTTCATTTTCATCCTTTGAAATGGTAAAGATAAAACATAGGCTGTGAAGGTTAAAACTTTTATAAAGAATACTTAGAGCAGGCTGGGGATTTAGCTCTGGTTCTGCTGCCTGCCTTGCAACACAGGATCCCAAGTTTGATCCCCAGTACAAAATATATATATACCTAGAACAATCCCATAATAGCTGCTATTACAAAGGATTAAATATTAACTTGTTTGCCTACATTTACCCATTCTACCCTGTAATGGTTTGGTTTGGTTTTGGTTTGTTTTGTTTTCCAAATAAGTTAGAAAGCTTTAATCATTTCCTAAGTCCTAACTTTCTTAATTCTGGACTTGAGACACTAAATTTTGGCAGTTTCCGCTTCAGTGCTTTGATATTTTCATTACTCAGCCTTGTTCTCAGTCTTACTTTTCCATCTTCAGTCTCTGTGGTTGCATGTAATTTTAGATACATAATAGTGGGACCTCATGGAGAGTTTCATTTTCTTGTGTTCTGATTTAACTTTATGAAAACAGTTCTAAGCACTTGCCTAGTACAGTGAACCCTTGAGTTAAGATCCAAAATGCCAGCTGCTTGTGCTTCCAGATTGTCTCATACAGATGGAATTCTGAAAGGAACATTACAACATCCTTTCCTGTGTGGCGTTGAGAAATTCTAGGCCAGTGTCTCAGGACAATGAAATCTGCCTATATACAAGAGACTGAAGGCTGTGTAGGGGAGCCTGATCCTTCAGCAGACCAACTTGAGTTAAAACCAACCCTTGGGAATGAATTGAGTTCATAAGTTGAGGGTCTACTGTATGCCTTCAGGGTTATATCCCCAGCACTGCCCCATCCATCCCACTGCTCAGATTTCTGTAGTCCTCTGCATGTTTTTAACAGCCGTTCATTCTCAATTACACAACTTATTTTTTAAAGTGGCTATTAACACTATTGAATGAATCTTTCTTGAGAATGAGTTTTTTTATTAAATATATTTGGTTCTTGTGAATTTTAAAACTACTTTGAACATTCATGAAACTTTTAGAGATCTGTAGTATAGCACCTAATGTAATTAACAGTTTGCATAGTAATTTTTAGCTTTTTGTAGACAGTGACATCTTGAGTAGAATACAGTGGTAACTCAGTTCACAAATTTTCCGCAGTTGCAAATGAATTGCAACCAGAATCATGAAAAGGGTTAAGTTTGAACTGAGGTGCCACAGTATACATTTATATCCCTTGCATGATAATTTGCTAAATAATCCCAAATAACTTTTATACGTGCCTGGCTCTTACAGCAGAAAGTTTTTATGTGTAATTAAGTGAATGTTATTTAGTTATATCCATATATTTACCATATATATATATATACACACATACGCACGCACATACATACCACATATATATATATATCATTCACCATATAGTCTAAGAGGGTCTATATAGTGTAGTGTGGAGCTTTTTCTAGCTAATTCCATTATTTTAAGCATTAAAGTTCAGTGCCTATTTCAAATAGTTCCCCTTGTTAAAAGCTCGAGAAATTAGGTTATAGTCTTGTTAGCTTAACAATAGACTTGTTAGTTGCATTTGACAGTTTCTCCACAAGGTGGAATGCAGGTATAGCACAAAGAACTATATACTGTTTTCATATTCACCACTTTGTTTCATTTACATGGTTTTCTTCCCAAGTCTAGAAAGTAAGTTGGAAGTACTGTTTTTATAATCCTAAAATATGTACACTTGCCCCTCAGTGTGCAGAGGGAATTGGTGCCAAGGCACCTTCCCTGAGACACCAATTGGTTGCCCGGGTCCCTTACACAGTGTTTATGAAATGCCATGGTATTTTCATATGAACCTTAGCACATTCCCCCATATACTTTTACCTCTGGATATACCTAATACAGTGTCAACAGTCATGCGCAGCACATTTCATTCAGTGATATATTGCACATACTGCCCCATGAGATTTTATCACTTAATCATCATAGTTTGAGTAAGTACTCTTGCAGTGCTCTCATGGTGAAGTCATCTAGCTGTTTTGAATACATTCTAGTTAACATATGGCAGTAACTGTTAGACTGTAGTTTAGTGAATAAGAACATGCAGGTGGAAGGGTGATTTTTTTTTTCTCCCCAGGAATAGATAATTCTCATCAAAATCAGAAAGCATTAATAGGATATAGCTTAATCTTTGGTCCATATTTACTGTTTAACAGGGTCTCACTATGTAGTTATAAGACCTTGAACTCACTATACATCCCAGGTTATCTCAAATTCAGGGATCCTCCTGCCTCAATCTCCCAAGGGTTGAGATTACAGGCATTTGTCACCATGCCCAGCAATATTTAAACTTTTTTAGTCTAAATCTGGGGTGTGTTCTCAGCCTTTTTCTTAACCTTGTCATGTTTAAAGAGTAAAAGATAGTTAACTTGGTAGAATATCCAGTAGTTTGGGTTTCTCATACATACATGGCTACATTGTTGGCAGGATTAATCATAAGCATGAGACTTTCTCAATGCATTATCTCCAGTGGCCCAGGCTAGTAACACAGATCACTATAGTCACTTTTCACCTTCATACTTAATGCTTTGCAAAAGCATCATGAGTCTATTAAATGCCTACTTCCTTATCAAATACACCTGTAGACATTGCTGATATTTTGTACAGTGGTACTTCAGTTTATGAATTTAATTTTTTCCATGGCTTCTGGTTGCAAACAAATTCAATGGTTAGGTTCAGTGTTGCCCTTATGGGGAAATTTGATTCAGTTTTCATTCAATTCAGTTTGCAACCAGAATCGTGGAAAGAATTCGCGTATGATTGGAGGTACCAGTGTATTTGCTGGCAATTTATAAAAGAAGTGCTCACCCTGGGGGACATTTCCAAGAATAAGGATGAAAGGTTTTGTTAACCAGTCATGGAAATGAAGGGAAAGCTTTGATGGCATAAAATTAGTGCCATTACTCTCAAAGCAAGAGATTGCTAGTCCAGAATCAGAATGGCATTGGGAAGCATCATTTGTATAAGAGAAATAAGGAAGAGAAAATAAGCTGCAGCCTCATCTATAAAACAGTGCCTTCTAATACTACAAAAAGTAGATGCTATTATCAAAGTATTTTGCACAGTCACTAAATAGTAGCTGCCTTCTACTGTAAACAGAATAGCTAAACCCTAACACTGCCCTAGCCATTTGAGAAAAGGCAGGGTTGCTGAATGTGGTGACCTGTTGTTAAAGTATCTACTGTCCGTATTTCCTAGAGACAGTATGCATGGCCTGAGTGTACTAAATAGATTGCTGTTAATGGAGAATTTCAAACACCAGTGATACAGTATGATGAGCCACCCTAGCATTTCTTCTATAGGTACATTATTGTATACATCTAAAAGATCTCTGAAGCCTCTAAATCGAGTCTCCCTGTTTTTCCCTTGCAATATATATATATATATTAAAGAAGCTAGGTCACTGTCCTGCAGTTTCAAAGTCCTGATTTTGCTATTTGTGATTTCATCTCATTAGTCTATTTTTCCCCTGCATTTCCTGTAAATTGATAAGCCCAGAGCCTTTGTTTTCAAAAGTAAAGTCCTTGGACTAGCATCTTCACCACTACCTCAGAATATATTAGAAATGCCACTTTGCTAGGCAGGATGACTGACACAGGTCTATAATGTCAGCTATGGGAGACCGAAGAGGAAAGTCCCAAGTGTGAGCCCAACCTGGGTGATTTAGCAACTTCACAAGATCCTGTCTCAGTATGAAAGGACTTAGGGGTGGAGGGGTAGTTTTGTGCCGGGGCCCTGAGTTTACTTTCCCAGTACCCCCCCCCAAAAGCAAATTTTTA